GGGGGGGGGCAGGTTGCACAGGGAGAGGGAAGACCAGAAGTATCTGCGTCGTTGGAAATGGAAAAGGGGGTGGGGGAGAGGGGTAGCGATCGGGTTGTGATCAGGTTGTGATGGTCTGCCTTGCTATTCGCTGTGGCGAGGCGGTAAGTTGCCACCTGCCACCTAACTTTGCCTAACAGGTGGATGAGACTTGGCGTAGAGAATAAATGGGGGCACGCCAAGCCAAGCCCTGCTTGGCGGTGCAAGGTGCGACAAGAAGGGGGTGGGGTGCGGGTTCCTGGAGCTTCCGGCCTTGGGGCTTTGGGGGGTGGCGGCGTGCCTATGGCGTGCGCGCGGCCCCGCGCCCTAAAGCCCCGCCTGCCACTCACGCGGCGCGTGCACTACTGCTCTCACACACGTGGCGCTTCCCTAAACTTTAGTGGAGGAAAGTGCCTTTTTATTTTTCCGGTGCGCGCAGACCACATTTACGTCCCCAAGCTGTATGGGGTTGGCTGGGTCGCGGGGGCCAACTGCCACCGCATTGCGCAGGACTGCGGACAGCCGTGGCCTACTTCTCGGGGGCTGCGCCCGGGCTGCGCCCGGGCTGCGCCACACGACGCTGAATAATAAAAGCGTGCGTGCGGGGGCCCGATGCAGCCCTTCCCTTTATTTGCCGAGCAGCCGTCGGCTCCCACATTCTCTGGCTCAGCTTTCGTATCCTCCCCGCCTTCTTATCCCTCCCCCCCTTGTTTGTGCCTCAACGGGGGTTAGTCGAGGGGGGAGGGGGGGGGGTCGCGTGCCCATAGGTTGAGAGAGGGTTGAAAGCCACAAAACAACCCTCACCCCCACCCCCACCCCCCATTGTTTCCAATGCATACACGTGAGTGATGGTGAGGCACCTTGCGGGCTGAGGTGTTGTGCGGTGCGCTGGTTGCGCGGTGCGCGTGCGGACACGACATGTACAAACATACAACCTGAAAATTAGAAGAAATAAAAGACAGAGGTACGTAGTTTTTGTTTGGTCACAGCACATGATACTTTCACCGCACCGCACCTCATTCCCAAATGCGTGGAAAGAATCCACGCAATCCACGTCACCCAATGACAAAAGGGAAAGACCACCCCAGTTTCTGCGTTGATCTCGCATCATCCCGCCCCTTTTCAAAAAGCAGCGCCCTCTAGCGGTCTGACGACGACACCCAAACGACCGCGCTGACCAGTCTCCGTCACGAGACGCAACGCAAACATTCTGTTTGGGGAACGCACCCTCAAGCCGATCAGAGAGCAAATGGCGTCATCATCGGATGAATTGCGTCGATTCTTGTGCAGAAAATCATGAATTAATGCCTGTTAATCAAACATATTTGTCTTAATAATGTTACCAAACACTATTTGTAAGTACCAAGCGCAATTCTACCCAAAAATTATTGCGAGGGCGTGACTTTTTAGTTCTCCCTTTATGATAATGCGAACCCCTCTCTGTGATATTACTGTTAATTCTGGTCCAAAACAATCTTTTGTATTGGCTTGTGCTTTCTTCTCTTATCACCCCCTCAAGATTTCTCGCGTTCTCTGGATAGTAACACCACCTACTTGTGACAGAATTCTGAAGTATTCAATCATTGTCTGCTACATGTGTTGGCAAACAAACGTTTGTCAAACAGTGGGGCAGCAACATTCAAGCTTTTCAAATACTTCTCTGGCACCAAACAAATTTACCAATAATGTGGATAGGTGTTATTCGATTTGTTTCAAAATTTACCTTAGCAATTCGGTTTAGCTCTCAGGAGATGTGAACTGAGTTGAGATTTGGTGGCAAATAACTGACTTGCATATAACATTCCTTTAACATTGTGTGCTTTTAAGGACTTTTAGAGCTGGACATCAAATCCTTTTTTGTGTTCCATTTCAAATTATATTTTTAGCCAACATTTTGCACTTGCAGCTCACATTGTATCTGTATTTTTATTTATACACTTTGCTCTTGTTACAGTTGATCAGGATTGAAATAATCAAGGACGAGCGGTCTCTGCCGCCATTTATTTATATAATGAATGAAGTCAAGCCAGAGTTGGTCACAACAATGGCTAGTTCATCAACCTGGGATGCTTTACACCAATCTGTACCTATAACACATTCAACTCCAATGCCTCATCCTATCCACAACATGCCGCATGATGGCTCGCAGCCACCTATGGTCATGCAAAACATGGCAGTTCATATCCCAATGAAAATGCCTGACAGCCCAGCTGTACCTATGTCACCTGTATGTTTTACGACCAAATATCTTATGCTCGATGGATTAAATTATTGTTCTATTTGCCATTTTAAATTTTCATGTTTGTAGAATGCTGCAATGCCACTTCCCATGGAACTAGTCCAACAAGGATGGGAAAAGTGTTGGAGTAAAAGAGAAAACAGGCCTTACTACTTTAACAGAGTCACAAATGAGTCTATGTGGGAGATGCCTATGCCCAAACCACAGGTGATACAGCATTCACATCTTCCTGGCATTTGTATAAAATTCCTAACCTGAACCCCCCATTAAAAAGCCTTTTTTTCCCCCAGTTTGATCCAATTACAGACCCTTTAGGTATATGTGGACCACCCACAAACGGACCCAATCATAATTTGGGTCTGAAAAGAAGATCATCAGAAGAAGGTGTAGGTGCCCCACCTCTCAAGAAAATTATGATTCTACCGTGAGTATTCTTTGTCTTGGCAAAAAAACAAACAAAAAAAACATGTGACATGTGTCTTAAATCTCTACATTGGGTTGAAATTGTTTTTGTTTCAGTGGTCCTTGGGATCTGGAAGTTTCTACAAACGTAGTAATTTATGAAAGACAACCATCAACATTACTGCACCCTCATCCTGAAATAGAGGCTTTTCGGTGCAGCCTTCTCATGAAATTAAGACAGTGTTATCAAGAACTTTGCCATTCAAGAGAATGTGAGTTTGTTTACTTAATTTATCACCTTATTGAAGATTTGCACATTTTCCTCAATTGTCCAAACATATAACAAGCTTTACTTACCATCACTTAAAACATTTTCTCTTTATTTTCAGCAATTGATGCTCCCAAAGATTCTTTCAACCGCTGGCTCATGGAACGTAAAGTCCTTGATACTGGAGTGGATCCTTTATTGCCATCGCATTGCTTTCCAGAGATCTCTATGTGCATGTACAAAGAGATTATGAATGACATTCCTCTCAAATTAGTAAGACCAAAGTTTACTGGAGATGCTCGCAAACAGTTATCAAGATATGCTGAAGCTGCTAAGAAAATGATTGATCGAAATCCATCTGCTGAGAGTAGAAAAATTGTTAAGTGGCAAGCTGAGGACACCTTCCAGTGGCTCAGAAGAACAGTTGGTGCTACATACGAAGATTTTCAAGAGCGTTTAAATCATTTAAAAAAGCAGTGTCAACCACATCTTGCAGAGGCAGTCAAGGGTTCAGTGGAAGGTATTTGCCAAAAAATTTACAATCTATCAGCTGATCATGCCAAGAAGGTGAAAGAAAAGCATCGAGATCTCCTAAAGGAACAGGGAATTCAAGGTATACTTAAACTATTTTTGGGGTACTTAAATCATTGAGGACTAAGAACTTAATGAAACAATGTATCTTGTTCTAACAGTAATTGCACCACCTCAAATGCCAAACTTAAGGAAGGTGTTATGTTATGCGGTGCAGTTTTCCGTGCCTTGCCCAAGGCTCCCACACATAGAATATTTGCCAGAAAGAGAACAAACTGTGTTACGATTTCAAGGTGATGCTGTCACAATAAACAATACACATTTACAGAAACTGGTATGTTGTATAACATTTAACATCATTAAATACTGCTATAAGTACTGAAGTTCCAATTAAATCTGTAAACTAGTGCTAAAAACTTTGCTTTTCTTCCTCAGGAGCAACTGTACAGATATAACTGTTTTGACGATAAGAAATTTGAAATGTTTTTACCTCGTGTGTGGTGCCTCTTGAAGAGATACAATACATTCCTTGGCTATACTGGCCCAAGCAGTAGTTCATCCAATTCCTCAAGCTCTAACCATGGAATTTATGAGGGACAAGCCACACAAGGAGCTCTTCCTATCACTGTTATGGAATCCCTTCATCGAACATTCGGAGTGTCATTTGAGTGTTTTTCTTCACCCTTGAATTGTTACTTCAGACAGTTTAGTTCAGCATTTGCTGATACTGATACTTACTTTGGATCAAGAGGGTGAGTGCATTCAAATGTGCATTTTTATTATTGTTTTTGCATCTTAAAAGGTTCTTAAATATCTTTATTTTTCCATATCAGGCCATTCCTTGATTTTAAGCCAGTCAGTGGGTCTTTTGCTGCAAATCCCCCTTTTAGTGAAGAATTAATGGAGGCTATGGTGAACCATATGGAAAGAGTTTTATCAGATTCTGCTGAACCTCTTTCATTTGTTGTCTTTATTCCTGATTGGAGGGACCCTGCACCTAATGCTTTATTGAAATTAGAAGCAAGTCACTTCAAAAGAAAACAGGTTGTTGTGCCAGGCACTGAGCATGAATATCGCCATGGATATCAACATGTTGTTCCTAAGTATGTCATATTATTTTTATTTTGATAGAAATGTTTTCTCTGTGATAGTTTGCTCACCTTTATTTTTTCTTGCATAGGAATGAGTTGAACATAAAATGTCCTCATGGTACCATGGTTGTTTGGCTTCAAAATGCTGCTGGTTATCAGCAATGGGGCCCATCTGAAGACAGAGTTGAAGCTTTATTAGAAGCTTTCAGACCAGGAAGAGAAAGGGAAAGGGATCGGCAGGAGCTTCTCTCACCTCACAGGGCACCCTCTGAGAATGTTCCTGCGCAGTTAGCACCAGCTGCATTAAATCCTCATACTCCTCCTGACAAAGCGCCTGCTGAACTGCCTGTCTGACAAAGGTGTCCGGACTCCCCTGCAGAGGGGAGTCCATCCTCCTCTCAGCAGTTAGATGAGTCAAAACCGGTTCCTACAAACCCAGAAATGTCTAATCCGTCAGTACAAAGAAATGTACCATCAGCAAAGAGCCAAGATAACGAAGATATTTCTATCCCAGCAAGTACTATAGCCTCAAATGTGATGCCTAAAGCAAATGAGGACCAAAATTCAGCAGTGCAAGAAAAATGAAAAAGTGTTTGATGTGGTTATCCAATGCTTGAAAAGGTCTTAATCCTGAATTCTCATTCCATTCTTTTCTTCTCGTTTGTTTGAAATTGCTTACTATGAATGGGTCAAATATTTGCCAAAATTCTAACCTTTTGCGTGACTATTATTGTTAATTTTTACATTTTAGTATTTTTAAAATTTAAAAATGACCCTTTGTTCTGTTTTATACTTTGACCTGCTCGGAAGTACTCATAGTTAAAATTATCTTCATTTGTGAACTGTTTGTGCAAGTCAAATGAATCTCACCGAAATTAATTTTGTCAGTTCCTCTTGTTTAAATCCCATACTAAAATTGAAAATGAAAATATTTGACCTGCTTTTAATTGCTTAAGATCTGCACCTACATTGCTGTCTAACTCTCCTCTCAAAATTGAAGCTTTTATCTCATCATAAGGAAGCTCTTCCTTGTAGTTTATTTGACAGGGCCTGGGAACTTAGGTTAAATTTGTCGTAAACATTTGTTGCTTACGTAATGTAATGAAGTCATTTTCTTGTACTTGTTATATGCCGGTTATGTCTTGGTAACATTACAGTAGTCGGAAGTATATTCTTAAGTGATATTGTTTGATATATTTCTATTTGTATGTTATGAATTGTGTAAACCACTTGCATGTTGCAGGGACTCAAGTTATATGGTACATAGTACATAGTTGTGTATATATATGCAGCTTCAGTTGGTGTATCAATCCTCTTAATAGGTGCGCTGTGATTGGCAAAAGCCTTGTACAGTATTTTAAAGTTGAGCTGCGCATGAATGTTTTAACCTTAGTTCAAAAATATGTTAGTGCTATACCTGTATCGATTAGGTAGCACAGTAGGCCTATTACCAGAACTCCAAATTAGGATCTAACTTTGGCTCATAAATTTGTTTTTACTTAACTTTGATTTGGTACACACCATTATCCATTATTTGATGCTATTGTGTACCTACATTTTCTTATCAAATTTCCCTTTTATTTTTAGATTGCTGCATCATGTGGCAGATTCATTTTTTAATTAATCAATGTTTATTGAACATGGATTTATCAAATTACTGTGCACAATTGAAATTTTCTTGCCTTTTTTAAAACATGCTTACCATATCAAGCAAGCGAACATTTACTGCTTCAGTTTGGTAGCTCTCTAGTTCATTAGTAAGATTTTGTGTGTATTGACATTATTCTTTCCAAGTGTGTTGATTTTGCTAATCTCATGAGGATGAAATTTTCTTGTCTCCTAACTTGTTGTGTTTTATCATGTAAAGAAGTTCAATCTGAAACTTCAAAATTGTTAATCAGAGCCATTGTTTAATGTCTTTTTAATTTAGGGAGCTGGTGATGGCTGGTTTTGTTGTACTGTGAAAACCAGAGAAAATTGGAGGTGCAAATCTTTCAATATTTTGGAAATTTAATCCGTATAATATGCTTTCTGGTCATCAATAAATTCTAGTTTGTAATTAATGATTTTAAAATTTTACTGCATTTACTTGAATTCAGCTGGCACATTCAGTTTTTTGTTCTGTGATATGTCATATTTTGCATTTGGGTCAAGATATTTGGTCATGGTTACTGTATTTCCACATTTCTTGACAAAATACTTAACCATTATGATGTGTCTAGGAATTGAAGTAAATTCAGTACACCACAAAGACTGGATTCTAACATATACATTTTTAAAGATTATTATTCATTTCATTCAATTTATGTGCCATATGTAAAAATGTGCAGTGTTTTCATTGTTTGGTTAAAAGTATTTTTGTGGAGGTCCCAATACTTTCTGTACTTTTTATCTTATTTTCCCTTGTCCATTAAATTGATCCCTTGCCATTCAGGGGAAGTCCGAGAACTCTTGCTCTATTTTTTTAAATCAATAAGCAATGTGAATGAGATCTTTGAATAAAGAAAACATGTGGAGGCATAGAATGCAATTGCTGATAAGTTAGCTGTGAGCATCATGGTTGAAGAATTATAAACATCAACTAGATTGCATCAATATGGACAGTGAATGATTCGAGGCACCAGATGTCATAGTTTTTATTACGCTACTGCATTGTAAGTACTCTAATGACTTGTCCTGATTGATAGCACTTTTTTAGGATTTTGCAGTAGTGTACTTTAATTATTTTCACATGCAACTAAATTAACATCACACTATGATTGATAAAAGCCATGTCATATTTTATTCAACAGGGCTTTTCTTACAGTCTTTGTGGTCTATTTTCCTCTTTCTCTTTTTGGATCTCAAATTTAAATCTACTTCCCCTACACATAGACCTATATTTTTTGTGTCCTTGTATCAATTTGATGCTTAGGTTCAGTCTCTCACATTCTGACTTTGTCATTGGGCTGAAACCACACATGGTTCTTACTAAGGACACTGTTGTTGGAGCCTGTAAAGTTCATGTCTTTGAAATAACCGTCCCTCTAAAAGTCCTATGCATCAGAGTGGTCTTAGCTTCAATCTCATTCAATGTGGACCTTATTAAATATTATGTAGTTTCATTTCACGGCTATGAAGTGTAATTCAGACACTGCAGGAGAAAAGGCTTTTTTTTTTGTTTGCAATTTGGCATCTGCATTGTTGCTGTTTGTTCCACTTTAACTTAAAGAAAATAACCTTTGCTCCATGAATGTTGTACCTGATATATAAACGCAATGAATATCAATTTTTTTAAATGCAGCGTTTTTACTCTGTACTTCTATGTAACATTTTGTTTACTAATGTCAATGACTATATGTAAATATTGAGACACATGTACAAAGATATGGAAGAATTAAAATAACCTTATGAGAAACATCTTTTCTTTAGTTTTCCTGTCCAATTCTGGTAGGGATTTTATTTGAAATTACTGTACATCTCCTATTTTTCAAAAAACAAAACAACAGATTACTCCAAAGAGCTGAGGGGAGGGAATGGATTTTGTTTGCTGACCACAAGCTTTTGATGTTGGTGAGAGATGTAGCCTTTTATCTTTCCTTCATAGATGAGATTAGCAACAATGCATTGGGTCTCAGACAAATCAATGTCCTCTATATCCATCATTTTTAGAGCACAGAGAAGGGCCTCCATGGATATCTGATGAGTTTTCTGAAGAAGATACCTGAGAGACAATTTCAATTAGTATTGGAGGAATATTTAAAATAAAAGGTGAGTGAGTAAACAAGAAACATAGTGAGAGACTTACACTTTTTTAAAAAGATTGCGGTATGCTATAACTTTTAGTTTTTCCAAGAGAAGGTAAATACCACACTGAACAAAAAATTTCTGATGCTGCCGCATTGCTTCATTTAAGCGGCGTACATCACCTGACTGAACACCCTGAACCAGCTCCCAAAATTGGAGTAAATCATATTTTTCAAGAAGTTTCCTCTGTGGCATGTAGCCCTACAAAAGAAAAAAAAGGAAGGTGGCAAATGATGACAGGTAGACAAATCTAGTCGGAAAGTGTTACAAAAATACATACCAAAATCATTTTAATTGGCACCAAGTAAATTAATATGAGTCTTTTGTTACGTTTAGATTGTTTATGGCATCTTTCAAATGCGTATGTAAGATATTCTCCAGCTAATAAAGAGGTAAATGATAGATATAATTGAATACATATTTACTATGTAACAGATAAAAATGTAAGACAATCCTACCTGTCTTGTAATCACTGTCAAACATGGCCTTACGACCCACATAATATCTGTATGTCACTTGTTGGCTGACAGGAAAAAGATCCTTGTAAGGGGATGAGTCAATAGCTCTTATTAAAGGTTTGCATAGATGCAACTTGTTGACACGAAAATAAACCTTGAAGAGTTGGTTAACTAGAGACATCATACCCCATTTTTTGGTGTCATCATTAGTGGCTCGACTGTTTAAGTTTTTAGAAAAAGAAAGTTACATGATAAAGACTTATTCTAAACCTCACTGAATACGCATGAAATCAAACTCAACGTACTTATCAGAGGCACAGACTCGGAAACAAGACATAAAGCATTCTGCTGCTTTTTCTAAAGCTTCCATAGATTTACCAAAGCCTTTGTCTGAATTATGCTTGTCAGCCTGAATGGCCAGAAGTCTCAGGTCAAGACAAACAGTGAACATAGCTTTCAAAAGCCAGTTGTCATCTCGACATGCTAAGAGCATTCGTGAAAATGCTTGTACCACCAATGATTGGCAGCGATAGGCCTCTGCATAGTCTGGTGTCTGGAGTGCCCATATCACCCTAGAAGAGTAGACAAATATGATCACATGGTATACTGACAAGCAAATATAAATCTAATTCCAAGATATGTAAATGATATACCTTAGGTGAGCAACAACAACTTCGTCTAAGGGATTTTGAAGGAATCTTTCAACTGCACTACCTGCATCAGGGAGATGCAATTTAGAACTAGCAATGTGACAATGCCTCAATGACAGCAAATTCTGAAATAGTAAATTATGCGCATTAGGTTTTAACCGATATAAACACAGATCAAAGAATGACTTATTACATATTCTAGAGTAAATTTGGAACATCATTTACTTACGGATAAGCCAACTGGGTTTCTAGTGCGCCAGGCATTTGATACCTAACATTATAAACATACAGAGGATAAAACCATTTACAATAAGAAAACATAACCTTGACAGCTTATTATGATTATGATAAAAGAAGTATTTAAAACAGGAGGGGACAAATTTAGACAATATACAACATACCTCATCCAAGTACTTGTTTATAGTGTAATTATTCATTTCAAAACGTTAGCCTCTACACTACTATACTTAAAACAATAAGAAGGATTTTGTCATGAAGTCATAGAACCGGCTTTGAAAACAATACAATACACATTTAAAAATGTCTCTACACGTAACGTTGTAGGAACCGCCTTTTTGTGCAGGTTATGTGCTATCCGCTATCTCCGCTTCCGGTATGATCACTGCCCCAAACCAACGTTTTGTTTTTCCCGGTAGAAGGCTGTGGGGGTAATAGCAGCTGACAAGTTCAATCCCACGTCACCAGAGTCAATGTTGTTTTATTGGTTTTAAAGTTTGTTAGATCTTTTCATCAGCTAAAAATGGTACGAACAATAAAATTTGTTATGCTCTTGTATGGTAATAGTGTATTATATGGTTTGTAGGCTTTATATGTCATGCATTAGTGTTAGGCTCTTAGCGGTAAACAATTTGACGTGTTCTGTATTTCTATCGTTTGAATGTTTTATTGCTGTTGACATAAATCAATGCCTCTACGTTTGGCGACTTAAAAACCGTTTACACTTATTTCTTGAACATTCAAAATGACTGTGTGCATTTTTGTTTGTGCTTGAAAAGTCAACCTGATGAAACACCTGTATCATAGTACTAACCTATATTGTTATGATCTCGTCTTGTGCTGCTGTCATTCAAGATGTTTTCATCACTTTGATATGAGTTTTATTTGTTTCTCACCGAAGTTCTTCTGTAATCCAATTATTCCTTTGCTTGGTTGTTCTCAAATTAAAGATTCTTATAATAGAGGATTGACAGTTGTTCCGAAGAGCAGATACAGCCAAATGTTTGGTTCCCTTCCATTCTTTAAGACAGAATTATTTCATGTTGCAGGTGCTCATTGCAGCAGCAGTTTGCACCAAAGCGGGCAAAGGTAAAGTTATAAACTATTGATTTTCCTTTCCTTGCCGTTTCCTGTACCTGCCAAATTTCAAACTTACATGCGTGTATGATTTATATCTATTCAAACTTTTACATCTGTTTTGACAGTTATATTTTCCCGTCAATTCGTGGAGATGACGAAAGCCCGCATAGAAGGGTTATTGTCAGCTTTCCCTAAGCTTATGTCATCTGGGAAACAGCACACTTTTGTTGAGACAGAATCGGTGAGATATGTGTATCAGCCATTAGATCGCCTCTATATGCTGCTAATTACCACCAAAGCTAGCAATATCTTGGAAGACCTGGAAACACTCCGACTCTTTTCTCGAGTGGTATGTATGTTTGTTTTATTTTTAAATTATCCAATTTGCTTAATTCAACTATTTATGGGTTTTCTTTTTATTTCATTTTAGATACCTGAATATTGTCACAGCATGGATGAGGCTGAAATTTTGGACAATGCTTTCAATCTAATTTTTGCATTTGATGAAATTGTGGCCCTGGGTTATCGTGAAAGTGTTAACTTAGCTCAAATTCGTACTTTTGTTGAGATGGATTCTCATGAAGAAAAAGTGTACCAAGCTGTTCGCCAGGTGAATTTCTATTTCTGTATTGCAATTTTGTTGTTGATTTTCTACTTACTGTATTGGACACGTTAAAACCTTCCTAACTTGCTATTTGCAGACACAAGAACGTGAGGCAAAGAACAAAATGCGTGAAAAAGCCAAGGAATTGCATCGTCAAAAAATGGAAAATGCTAAACGCGGAATCAAAGGAGGATCAAGCAGTTATGGTGGATCTGGAGGTTTTGGTGCTAATAGCACAATGTCTGCTATGGGGGGTGGCTCAAACTTTAAATCAAGTGCTGATAATGTTACCAGTGATGTTCCTCGTTCATCGTACACTCCTATTTCGTATGTAGATTGAGTACAATAGAATTCCTTTGTTTTCTGATAATTTTAGAAAGAAAAATCATGAGTGAAGTTGATCATACTGTTACGATCTTTACAGGAAGCCTGCTGGACCTACTAAGGCAATGAAATTGACCAACAAGGGTCGAGATGCTGAGTCATTTATTGAGTCACTGAAATCAGAGGGAGAAAATGTTGCTGCCCCTGTTGCAAACAAACCAACTGGCACATCACAAAAAATCTCTACTGCACCACCTGAAAATGCTGACCCGTAAGTTATATTACTCAGTCAAGGTTTCTCTGACCAAAAATTAGTCCATTTTTACCTTTCACATAATTTATTTTGCTTACAATTTACTATTTAAATTCAACTTGTAGGATTCATTTACGGCTGGAAGAGAGAATGGTTGTTGAAATTGGCAGAGATGGTGGAGTACGAAATTTGGAGGTACATGGATTTGCCACCCTGAGAATCAGTGATGAGAAATTTGGACGCATTCGTGTAAGCTTGGAGAACAAAGATCAACGTGGTATTCAGCTACAGGTATTAAAATTATTTATTCTGTCAGAATTTTGTCTAATGTTTGATCTAAGTTTTTAATACATGTTTTCTCTTGATCCTTACAAGACACATCCAAATGTTGACAAGGAACTGTTCAAACTGAAGTCGCAAATTGGTTTGAAGAATCCTGGTAAGCCTTTTCCAATGCAAACAGATGTTGGTGTTCTCAAGTGGAGATTCCACTCCACTGATGAGTCTTCTGTCCCCTTGTCAAGTGAGTCTGCACCTACCTTGTTTTTTATTCAATTCCAGTCTAAAATGTGAAAAAAAATTAATATCTATAACTTTTATTCTAGTCAACTGCTGGCCATCTGAAAATGGACAAGGAGGGTGTGATGTTAATATTGAGTATGAACTGGAACATACTCATTTGGAGTTAAACGAAGTGTGCATCACCATTCCTCTTTCGTAAGTCTCAAAAAACTTTCTATATCCCAGCCTAGAGACCTGCAATGAGCAAGCTTTGCAAGCTAAACACCATTTCTACCCCCCTCCCACCTGCCAAAGAACGGCCCTAGCTCGCATATCTAGCATAGCTCGCATAGCTAGCATAGCTCGCACAGCTCGCACAGCTAGCATAGCTTGCATAGCTCGCATAGCTAGCACAGCTAGCATAGCTCACATAGCTCGCATAGCTAGCATAGCTAGCATAGCTTGCATAGCTAGCATAGCTCGCATAGCTAGCATAGCTCGCATAGCTTGCTCGTTGCAGGTCTCTATCCTAGCTTGATTTTAACAAAAATATTTCCTACTGTATTTATCTGTTTTCTTTTTTTCAGTATTGGATGTAATCCTGTAGTTGCTGAGTGTGATGGCGAATATAATCATGACTCTCGAAAAAATGTATTGATATGGTCTATGACCATCCTTGATTCGTCCAACAAGACTGGATCACTTGAATTCTCAGCACCCAATTGTAACCCAGATGACTTTTTCCCTCTGCAAGTCAACTTTGTCTGTAAACAGTCTTATGCAAATTTGAAGGTAAGTGAGATGGAGTTTTACCCTTTGGTGAAAGTAAATCTTATATCTTACAAATCACAAACTTTTTAACTGTGACCTTGTGCATTTGCTTTTGTAATTCTAGATCACCGAAGTGCTACAAGTTGATGATAATTCACCTGCGAAGTATTCATCAGAGACTGTTCTTTTCACAGATAAATATGAAATTGTTTAGATGTTAGTTTTGAAGGGGTCATGTACTTTGTAAACAAGGTTTGTAATCGTGATAAATGAGAAAAATATGTATGCATTGAACATGATGATTGTACCCTGAAGCCTTTGAATTTTCTCAACATTGCATCTGTAGAAAGAATGAATTTGTAAAAAAATAGAATTATGGATCAATTTTTAAATTCAGTATTTTTTGCATGGAAAAAGTTATTCTATTCTATGATCTGTACAGAAATCATCTCTATGAGCACATATTTTAATTTTCACTTTATTCCAAGGCAGGGCATTTTAATTTTGAGTATATGTCATCTACTCTTGTAAATATTTGTAGGCACAGAATTGTATAGAGCTCCAGGGATAGAACTTGATAAGAATAACTCTGTTGACTTGTACAGTACAGTTGTGAATATAGACATCAATGAGATATAACTTCTTATGGTTGGTTCAGAGTTAGTTCACAAAGCGCAAGCGTGATTTTAACGCCCACAACTTTACATAGCCATTGAGAGACTGACTTTCGTCACGCCTGGCGTGGTACTCGTGCTTGTGTTTTGTGAACTCTGAATCCATCTAAATAATGCTATTGAACAGGATTATAATCATTTGAAATTGACCATATGGGAATAAGATTCATCACCCCTCAAGATGAGGTGGTTGTTCTGGAATATTTCTGAGTTGAAACAGTGGTGATGCTACTCATTTCTCAAGGTTCACTTGGTCCTGTTTTATTTTGATATTTCCACTTGAGTGACCGTAAAATTCCCTTAAGATAATGCTTGCACGCAAATTTTTACATCTGAGAAAATGTACTCATAAAATTACCCATGTGGTAGAAGTTTTGCACATTTTTGATGGGTTTGGTAGCCCTTTCAACACTTAAAGCAAACTGGCAAAATTCCAGTTGCATAGTTGTTTGGATATTGCCTATCTTAAATCGTTGATTTCTGATGTTGTCCACAGCATTTATATTTCATAGACCACCCCAAAATTCAGAAATGTGCATCAAAACAGCTATTTTTTTAAAATCTCATACTCTTATCTATACATGTCATTCCATGTAAAGTTTCACGACTGCATAGATTGGTGAATGATCATTGATCATAATGCCCTGTAAGGAACTGAAAAGATTCTATTTTGTTGACGAATTAGGGGAAGTGGTCGGTAAAGACAGTATAAGTTGTATGGCATCCACCATATATTATGCTTAGTTGTTTTGTTTAATTTTTGTGTAACTTTTTAATCGAACGCTCTACTTCTTGTCTATCTATTTTTTGTTTGTTTGTGAAATAAACGATATTGATACGCGGCCACGAGTGCACTTATCCTTCGAGCGGCATGTGGCGGTCTGGTGCGCACGATGACTGCTCCCGATGCCCCTTCAAGCTCACCCATTAGCCCCATAGGCCCGATAGAGCCATGCAGCCTTGTCCGCATTGTCACATTCTCACGCTGAGCCGCCTCCCGCACAAGGCGCCGCCTTCCGCAGAGCCGACTGTTTGCTTTTGCTTGCACGGCTGGGACTCCTGGGACTTCTCTGCGCCCACATGTCGCTTGCGGCCCTGGCCAGGAGGTGCCTGCCGGTGACGTGCCGTTGGACGTGCCCTGCGCCCACATGTCGCTTGCGGCCCTGGCCAGGAGGTGCCTGCCGGTGCTGCCGGCCCGCCTGTCGCGCGCTTGCCCCCACGGAGGCCAAAGCGGTCGCCGTCCTCCTGGCGGGTTGAGCTACTCCACGAGGCCCGCCTTTCCGCCAGGACACCCCCGGGAGCTCATCGGCAACCGGGACGTGGTGGGCTACGGCAAGAACGGTCAGCCTAACTATTTCGACGACGAACGTTACCCCTACCCGGCCATCCGCTGGCAGGAAAACAACCAGGTGGGGTATCATCGATAGCGGAAGATAGGGGAGCACGACGGTTGCGTGCCTGCCCACAGTTATGGTCTGGGCAGGGACACCCGTCGGGTATACTTCACTATAAATTCAAGCTTACGCAGTTTTTTCTGGATTTTCTATTGCCCTTTTTCTCATTTTTCGAATATTCCTGGCTTTTCTGTTGTGTTTTTTTAACGGTGTAGACCTTGGTGTAGACTTTTATTTTTTAGTGAAGTGTCCCTCAGGGGACCCATGGCGATACCCCGCGACTGAACTTCCAACGCCCATACAACGCCTCGCTAGCGGAGTAACCCCTCCGGACCGGCTTGCAGGAGATCCACGCCCTGCGCGAGAAGGAGCGCGGCGACTGGAGACTGCTCACGGCCGAGGAGAAGCAGGCCCTGTACCGCGCCAGCTTCAAGCTCTCCTTTGCCGAGTTCCTCGCCAAGCCTCCGGGCGAGTGGAAGGTCGGTACACGGGTCTGATTTCACACGCGATGTAAAACAAATTGTGATTCTACGACAGATAAAGCGCACACAAATTATAGATTACGGACACCCAGTCCAAAAAGTGAATGCTCTTTGTGTTTCAAAAGTAATTTTCATAGGATTCGGGTGATTAAGGTGACTATCACGTTACACTGGTGTTGCTCAGGACCACCTGGCGGCGCTGCTGCTGGTCGTCAGCCTGGCCCTGATGCTGGAGCTGTGGTGCGAGCGCTACGCCTTCGTGTACCCGGAGCACGGCCTGCTGTCGGACCGCGACAAGACGTGGACGCTGTACGAGATGATCCGTCGGCACGCGGTCGGCCCCGCCTGGGACTACGAGAACAGCCGCTGGACGTCGCCGTGGCACGCCCACCCCTGGGACCGCTACTACCCGATGGAGGAGCTGTTCGCCAGGAAGCCCAAGGACGCCGAGCCGCTGCCGCAGTACGCCAACGCGAGCGCGGCTAGCGACTCGGGCGGGCGGCGGGACCAGGACGACGGCGCGGGGCTGGCGGCCTCGTCTGTCCGCTGACGTGCCGCCCGGCGCGCGGGCCGTAGCCCGGGCCGTAGCCCCTGTGGAGCGGTGGGTAGGCAGACCCGCCACGCACGCGTGCATCGACAGCTCCGAGGCTGCCTACCTCCCGGGGGCCATGGGCCATGGCTGCTGTCAGGGCAGGCTGGGCTGGGCTAGGGCCGCCGCCGCCGGGGACACAGAGGGCGAGCAGCCACTGGCGAGGGACACGGACCAGCGCTGCAGGCAGATTGCACCTCCACTATTTCACTGCCCCCCCCCCTCCGGCACCCTCTCCCCCACATGGGACGCTCTCTCCCCCTCTGCAGCGGAGCGGCGCGTTGCAGAGCAGGCGCCAGCCGGGAACGCAAAGAAATTGAAAGCAAAGCAAAAGCAATTACGTCCCAGACCTAATTGTCTGCGCGCAGAGCGAGCGCAGTGCCCTGCACAGGGGGCAGCGCGCGGCCGGCCGGCGAGGGGTCCTCTGTGCCAGTTGGAGACGACAACCGTTTCATGTGACGGTCAAGTGTTTCGTAGTGTAAAATATGCCGATTACGTTGTTAGTTTTTTAAGTCACAGGCTGTACGTGTTCACTACTGCATTATATAGTGCTATCAAATTATATTTGTGTTTTATTCAACCCTTTTGAACCGACTCTGACAAAACAATAAGACTGTGAATGCGTTTTGCGTTTCGCTTGAAACAACTTGCACCCAATGCGGTTTCGCACACATATTTTGGGGAGGTTTTCAATAAATAATACTTTAATCACCTCCAGCGGCGCACGGCCTAACACATACACACACGCACACACACGCACACACACACACACACACACACGCACACACACACACACACACAGGGGGAGAAACTGCGGCCACCACATGGACCCGCGTGCGAACCCGCAGCCCCTGCCGCGCCTGACAATGTGAACACATGTGTGAACACATGTGTGAACACATGTGGCGCGCTGGCGCGGGCCCGCGGGGCGGCCGAGCTGCCCCTGCCGACCGCCTGCCTGGCCGCGCGTGTGATCACCAGCCCACTAAATGCGGAGCCCACCCTGCCTGCCCGCCAGCGCCCGCCCGCCTGGCCCCACACACTCTCTCTCTCTCCCTCCCGCTCTCTGCCTCGCCCGCACGTCACGCCCGTGAAATATGTGGGTCTGAATGTCCGCCCGCCGACCCGCCCGAGGTGCTGACCATAGCCGCACTCCGCTGTCTGTCGTGGCTTTATATGCGGCCTCCCCCTCGGCCTCCCCTACGGCGTCCCTGTCCTGACGGTCCTGACGCCGCTCCCCCGTCGTCGTCCCCTCTGTTTCTCGGGACTGCGTGACTGTCTCCTAACGTCGAAGGAAGGCTGCACCTGTGGAAAGGGCCTCTCCCGCCGTCTTCCTTCGCCTCTCTCTCTCGCGCTCTATCTCGCTCACACCCTCGTGTCCCCGGGGCTGTTCTGTCAGCGGCCCCGCAGAGTGGCTGCCTGTCACGCCTATGCTCGCGCGCATGAAATATGACGGACGATTTAGCTCGGGTTCTGCTGTCCCCCTGCGCCGCTGCGTCGTCGGACCCGGTTCCTCCCCGCTGTCCCTGGCCGGAGCCCGACCCCGAGACCCCCACTTCCTGCTCTGCCCCTCGCCCGTGCCGCGCGGACGACGATGGCGCTGGTTGATTTGGCGTAATATTGTATCCCAGCGATGCTACCGAGGGAGGACCTGCCGCCTGCCGCCTCCGCTAGACGTGTCGTGCCGAGTCGTGCCAGGTCTTTGCACGGAACGGTGCACGAACCGCTGAACGTGTAGCTTTGCACGTGCCAGTGGACATGTCTTTGAACACGTCTTAGGAGGAGGAGAGTGCCGTTGGACGGACGTGCCAACGGATATGGACATGTCTTTGGGCCTGTCTTTGGACGTGCCGTTGGACACGGATGAACGTGTCTATGGACGCACCTATAAAAGATGTTTTTGGACATGTCTTTGGACGTGCCGTTGGACGTGCCGTTGGACGTGCCGTTGGACGTGCCGTTGGACGTGCCG